CACAGAATTTGCTGGGAGGGCAGACTTTCCTATAATGGATGTCCTCAGTAAAAAAAAAGGTAACTGAATGTAATTTCCAAGCCCCCCCCCTTTTTTTCCAAATGCCTGTTTGGTCTTGGGAAGACCCCAAGTTATCCATTCTGTTGTCTAAATACCAATATCCTATTTCCTCTGCATTCTGGAGTGCTGACCAAAAGTTTTCAGTAAGAGAAGGAATAATGTCTTGAAATGTTAGAATTACTCCCTTCTCATGTTTTCTTTTTAAACACTGATGAATAATAATATACTAGAGATTTTGGCATTCAGCTGAAAAACCTCATACTTCTTTCTTATACTATGAAAACAATACTCAGTATATGTTGATTGGCATGCTTATCTTTCATTAATTGAGCATAAATTGCGTAACTATAGTCAATCTCTGTTCATTTAATGATATCCATTTTGAAAATACACCTATGTTTTATAGATCGATCAATCAATCAATCAATCTATCAATCAGTCAGTCAGTCACTACTGATAAGCAAGATACAGGTGAATGACTTTTGGATGATTTTTTAGGTTTATTGACAATAAGATACGGTGAAGCATGGAAGGAGCAAAGAAGGTTTTCACTGATGCTTCTCAGAAACTTTGGATTGGGCAAGAAATCAATGGAAGAAAAGATCTTGGAGGAGGCAAATTATTTGATTAAGGCATTCACTGACAAGATGAGTAGGTTCTCCTGGGACAGGATGGGATGGTTGTGGAATCGTCACTTCAGTGTTGATTCTTTTTCCAGAGGACACAATTCAGTTGCCCTCCAAATTGACCACTGGGTGCATGTATTGAAGCAGAGTGGGAGAAGCTCAGAATTCTGGTTGCCCAAAATTCCAAGCCCCATTGACCAAAATAAGACACACTGTTCATTTTGTCTCTATGCTTGGTATATTTGTAAAGTGGGAGTCCTGTAACTTTCTTAGCTGGAAGCTATTAATTAAAATTCTGAGAATGCTTTTGGATCTCTATAGAAAACTGGGAGAAGGTGGGAGAGTCATCATATATAAAACGGCCGGCCTAGGAAACATACCTAGTTGCCAACCTCTGTTTTCATGGAACGCTCTTTGCCATCCTTCACTGGGCCCACCTCCCACCATGCTCCATGCTGCCCCTGTGATGGCCTAGTAGCCTTTCCTCAATGTGATGATCTCCAGAAGTATGGGATTAAAAGGCAATGTTTGCAATGGAGTTAAGTCCAACACGGCAACAAATTGAGATTGGACTAAGAATACATATTTAGCCATTCTTGATGGAAAGCAGAAATCTCAAGGATTACTCAGGTTCTGAATCACTGAAGAGCAGCAACATTTGCCTTAGGAGAAATGCATTCTGTTGACGGTTCATTCACCACCTCCTTCAATGCATGGAGCCTTTCTCCTAATTTTTGTTGCTCCCCAAAAAGATATATATTAATGATAATGTCATAGACACGTTCTCTGCATTGATAGTCCCCAAGCAGTTTTTTCAATTGGACATTAGGTAGAGCTGTTAGTCCCGGTTGTGCTACTTGTCTGAACTACCTTGCAGGGCTAAAACTTTTAGATGTAGTTTTTTAAAAATTTAAAATCCTCTAAAGGAACATGTACCAGGATGGATCTATAGAGATCTCTTTTCATCTGTTTCATTTGACAGGTTTGCCCTTTGATCCTTATGAGCTTGTGGACATTGCGGTTGCCAACGTAATTTCTATCTTAATATTTGGGAAACGATTTGAATATGACGACACCCTCCTCAAAACTCTGCTGGATGTGATGCATCAAAGTTCTGAAATGGCAGTGGGACCCTGGGCCTTGGTATCCTTAACAAGAATCCAGATGAATGTTCATACTTAATGCACAATTACTGGGAATTTGCATTTCCATGTCTCACACATTTTGGAAAACTTTCTGATTTTCCTTGCAATTAGAACAGTCTCTCATCAGAGTGCCAGGAAAGTGGGTGAAGGCTCTTTATGAGTGCTTTGGTCCAAAGCTGCCATTATTCAGATTTAATTAGGGCAAATTTCTGCACTGAAATTTTACCTTACTTGGAAATTTGATACCCTATCAAATTGTGAATAAGAGCTATTTACATGAAGCCTTTACAACAGAAGGGATTTTTTTTGCTGCTCAACATACCCAGGAAGAAGACTCCATCATGGTCAATTAATCAGTGATGGCTTTTCTTCTGTTTCCTGGCAGCTTTACAATGCCATGCCCTTAGTGAGGCGGCTTCCCCTGCCCCATCAGAGAATACTAACAACAATGAAGAAAATAGATGATTTCATTGAAAAAGAGGTGGAAGAGCACAAGGCGACCCTCGTTCTCGGAGAACCTCGGGATTTAACTGATGCATATTTGGAAGAAATACAAAAGGTGGGTTTCTCAGTCTCTTGTTTTTGGCTTTGTATTCTTTTCTTTTCCTCTCATCTTGAATCTGTTTTTCTAACTTTATGCCTCATGAAAATAAAACAAAAATATTGATAGGATGACTTTCCTAGATCTTGTGCCAAGTCCACTTTTTGCCTTGGGGACATGATGTGTGAGCGCAGCTATGTGCCTTTGCTTCGCATGTTGTGCAAACCCAGCCAGCTAACACAGATCTGTCCATCCGGATGCAACAGAGGGAGGAGCGGGAGGAAAGGCCCCTTTGCCAGCTCTGGGGGACCCTCAAACTCTCC